TTTAATAAATTTTAATAAAATTGATAAAACGAATAGTTGAACAGTTGATAAAAGCGCGAGTGCACATGAAATGTATAGTTAAAAATAATTGAGATTTTTATCAACTTCTTATGTAAATCAAATAGGGTTAAATATGTTCTTATGTATAATAATCTATGTTTTTATAAATAAAAAAAACAAAACAAAATTTCTCAAATTCCATTGGCCTCCACCTCAATTCGTCATTGGTGCCATGTATAAAAAAGTATACTTCAATAACGTAATCTTGTCCAATCCCATCATCGTATTTGAGAAAGCTGAAAACTTTAGCTACACACCTTTCTCGTTTCATCATCGTAGTTTAATTCTTTTTAATATATATTGAATATGCCTTATAAATTAAATAGTTGAATTAAAAGTACGATCAATAAATTTGTTGTAATCATCTACGTCCACACGGAGGTGACAATCAGCTCGTTCATTAGACACGATAGCTCGACCCATCTCAATTCGTATTCATGATTTGACCATTTGCCTCATGGGCCTTATGGATCGAGTCGAGCTGCCACGAGCCTATAAACTGGCAACATTAATAAGTCAAGGATTAAACTATTTGTACAATATTGAATAACAACATTGTTGACAATATATGAATTGGCAAAATATTGTAGGTTGAAAAAATAAGTTGTTGTCCAAACTGTTCAATGACAACATGTCACGTGACATGTTATCAATAAAATTGTCATCCAACATTGTACACCAACATGATTGATAAATCAAATTGAAATCCTCCTCCTTTTAACATAGACGAAATTAAAATTTGAACGCAAGCAAAAATTACACGTACAAGTTTTTCATCTAAAAAAACTAGAAGAGAAAAAATGAAATTTGACATAAACAATACTTACAAATTATGAAGTCAAGTGTTCGTGTATTAATCCATTTACTTTATCTAGAATTTGGAGCTCTGCGTCTTCTCAGTCATTTAAATACATTAAGCCCTCGTTTGGTGCACATTTTAAAGGTAAAAAATGCATTTTTATTATTGATGTGATGGAGAATATGTGGTTGAAAAAGAAGGAAAATTTATTGATGTGATGAAAAATATTATTTTATTAAAGAATGTGTGGTAAAAAATTCTAGACACAATGGTAAAAAAATTTTTACTTTTATTGACAATTTTCATGTAAAACAAAGTCAAACGAATAGTATTCTTTATGATTATTTTTTTTCAATTTTTTTTTTTTTGGCAATTGGAACAAATTCTAAACCCAATTATAGAAAATATTATCATTTTAATGAACAATTTTCATAAAAAAGAAACCAAACAGACATAAAATTTTCAATATTTTTGATGAAAAATTATACCAATCGAACACAATTAATTACAATTCTCAATAAAATAATATTTAAGCAAATCAATTCCCTGTAAGTAAATTTATTTCCACCCATTTTTCATATTTGCAATCAAACGGACCCATAAAACTTTAGATTGCACAATAAAAAAAATTAATATTGATATTACAAAAATTGTAAATTGAGAATGTAATATTTGTGAAAAATGAAGTTAACTGGGGGTTAATGTTAAAATAAAAAAAAATTATGACCGCATAAAAAATTGAAATTGGACCATTGACCAATCTATAACAATTATGACCTTTGTGCCAAACTATTATATATATGACCGTTTGGGCAATGATCATAATTGGCCTTGTGAAAAGAATGTGTTGGACTTAAATCATTCATGGTCGAGTCGGGGGCGAGTCGAACCGCTTGCACACCCCTACCTCCACGAGATCGAGAAATCAATTTATTAATCAAAACTTCAAATTACACGAATAAACACGTCGTATGATATACTAATGACGCAATTTAATTTAAAAGTCTAATATTAGCTCCGATTTGACATTCGTTAAATTAATTTTTTTTCTTAAACTCATTTTTAACAATATATTCATACAATAAAACATTTTGTACGTATTCAGCTGGGAAGTCTTAAAAAATTATTAGATAAAAATACTGTATAACAATGTGGATCAAAATTAGAAATCATTAAAAAAATTCTTGGCATAATGAAGATTCGAATTCCACTAACTAGAAAACTAGTTTGAAACATATTTTATTCTCATATTCCTAATCGAGAAATTTAGTAGTTATTTTAATGTTGCATATGGCTTATCTTAATTTAGTTATACCATCTCTAATTGTGGTGTAAAATTGGATATAAATTGGTATATTCAAAATTAATTTTGCATCTTCATTTACGAGTGTATTAAATTCAGAATTTGCTCCGATGGAAAGATCTAAATCCATTTTTTACCTTTCGTGGATGTAAAAAAGTACATTTACTGCCGAAAAATGCAATTTGCATTTTCATTTGCATCTCTCCATTAGATAGGTTTTCGGCCACTTCAGAGATCTAAAACTCAGTTTACATTTATTTTATACAATAATTGAAGATACTCTTATAAGTCTATCAACAAATACCGATTGAGGGTAATGAAAGACAGAGGCGGACATAGATATTTTGAGTTAGAGTGTACAATCAAATTTGCAAAAAAATTGTAAAAAACATAATGCATTCGTTATCTTATTACAATTGTTTTCTATGCATTTTCATTCTTAACATTCTCAACGTTAGTTTCAACCAAAACATTTTCAAGATTAGTTTAATCAGTTTTATTAGCTTCATTCCCAACATCAATTTCATCACTAAGTTCTTCATTCCTTTCTTTAACGTCAATTTTATCTCGAACGTTACCTTCATTAATATTTTGCTCATCACTTAAAAATACATATTTATAATTAAAGAATTTGTCTATAACTGTTACAATCAATCAATACAATAATCAGAAGAAAAAAATCCAATTGACATTTAATACTAACAATCCATTAAAATAATTACAATTCAATAAAATTAAATGAAATCGGACAGAATCATTCCAAACCCATTCTACATACACAATTTAAAAATCATTCCAAATCAATTCGACACAATCCAATATATAAGATCTTAAAAAAATAAAAATAAAAAATTCTGAACATAAATCGGATAGAATGAAAATAAACTATAAATATAACTCAAACTCATTTTCTATATCACTTTGAATTTTGTTAAAAAAAAAAAAGTAAAAATTTGAAACTATAAGCTATTGCCGAAGGCAAAATAATTTAAGTTGACTGTGTCCGGAGATCCAATGAGTGAAGGTGGTGCTAAAATTACAGTGGCAGCTATGGCCGATGATGTCGTGATGAAAGTCACTTTGCATCAGTGTTCAAATTGGTAGAAAAAAAATGTAAATTAAAGTTTCAATTATTTGAAAATTTGATTGGGAAGTGAATTTTTAGTAGATGTGATAATTTGTGTAAAAATTATAGATTCTTTTTTGAAGAATTAGTAGGGTTAGAGTTTTGGCAACATGGATGAGGGAGAAGTTACGAGAAAGTGAGAGAAAATGTTAAATCTATTGTGAATTTGTCCAAAAAAAGGGAAAAAATTAGAAAAGAAAAAAAATTCCCCAAAAGTTGGGGGTCAAGTGACCCCCATGACCCTCCCTAATTTCACTAGCGATGACCAGCACGCACGTCATATAATTAATTAAGGGAAATGCTTCTGTAAAACAATCATACATATACGCAAGTTAAGATCGTTCATTCAAATAATGATATTTCAGATCCTGAAAAATTCAAATCACAGCACTTACAATGTCGAATTAATCCGACCACAAATTTTGTTTCTAATTCGCCCGTTTAATTGTAAACTGACTAATATAAAGAGACGTCGATACTGCTCTTAAAATTAATAATATCAAGTTTCAAAAATTCAATAGTTCAATTTCAACATGGACCTCCTTTATGGAGGCCAAAACGTGATATGCACTCCTTTAAAATGAAATTTGTTAGGCAAAGTTATTTGGAAAGCATTGAAAGATCAACTACTCTAACTCTACTAACATATTTTATTACCCGCACTTGCCATAATAAAACCCAAAAAAAATTCAAGAGATGAGCCGAGTATCCGAGCCGGATAAGCCACGAAACAAGGACCTGTTTGTCTGTATCTCCCTCCCTTGCTTTATCATCCTGAACCAGGACCGTCCAAATCTCTTATGCACTGCGTACAACTCCTGTTATTTCTAATTGCCACGCGTTCTTTTATCATTGGCTACAGTAACATCACTCAGTGCACCTCGCATTTCCTATTTTTCTACCACTTCCTTTCCACTTTAAACCCTCTCTTCTTCTTCTCTCTCTCTAATTGAACAGATGCTCTGAAAACACCATTCCAACGCCATTATAAGCAATAAAAAGGGGAAAAATCGAAAGCCCATCAATTTTTGATATAGCTAAAGAAAGGGAAGATTGTTTTTTTTAAAAAAATAAAATTCGGATTTGTTGAAGATTCAAAATTTTCATATATATAATCTCATTTGCATATGCATATGCATGCGTGTGTATATATAGAACAGTGGCTTCATATGTAAGTCTGCTCTTCCTTTTTTTTCCTTGCTTTCGGTTTTGGCTTTGTTTTTCTTCTTTATATTTTCACTACTACGGAAAGCTTGAATTTCAAGTTGAATTTTCTTACGAGTTTCTATTTCTAAGTCTATTAGATTTTTCCAGGGATTGAAGGCCTTCTTTTCGAGTTATTGTTTTAGTATTTGAGGCTTGTTTTGAGCGATCAAATCTGTGGAAATCATATTGTTTTATTCTGGTATTCATTTCGAAAAAAAAAAGTTGAATTTTTGTTTTAATTTTGTGGTTCTTTAGCAATCGTTTTGTAAAAGAAGAAAAGGAGTATATTTGAAGCGTAGAATGGTGATTTTTCACACGGGTTTTGAAGTATATGCTGGATTGAAGTTTCTATTCATAACTTGAGGAAATAGCTCTGGACTTCCTGAGATTATAATTTAATTGTGGATGGTATTTTTCCATGAAATAATTTGAAATTTGTGGATATATGAGTCTTCTTGGGATACTTTAATACTTGCGGTGGTGGGGAGGAGGCTGGGATTGCAAAGATGAGTTGCAGTAAAAGCAGGGGCAAAGAGGATGAGAAGTGTGAGAAGCTTGCAAGGAAATCAGTTGAAGGGTTGTCATCTCAGAATGGATCGGTTGTGGCCTCCCCACGTTTAACCATCGATGAAAGTGTGCTTATTGACCCAAAATCCCTATTTATTGGGTCAAAAATTGGAGAGGGAGCTCATGGCAAAGTATATCAAGGAAAGTATGTGTGGTTTATTTTCTTATCTCACAGTCACAGTACCAATTAACGTTTCAGCTGTTATCGATTTTTGTGGCTAAACAACTTTACTGAGCTGTGTAAAATGCGAAGCATACAGGTTGATCATATCATGTCCAAATAAAAATATTGAATTTTACATTTGAAATGATAATGTGTATTTTTTTCTTGAAGCTGCGTGTTATTGACTTGCCTTGGGTTAGATGTTATCAATTATTTGATATCTTTTTTTTATGACTCATCTTCATTAGATGATGACAACTTAAGTGCTCATAATAGATTTATTTTCTATAAGAATGTTCTGTTGGTTCTTTTGTTGAACTAAAGTTATATAACTAGTTTATGCAGCAAAGAAAAGTTACAGTTTTGTTTTATTCTTACAATGCTTTCAAAATGAAAACTAGCCTCTTCACATCATATTGCTTAATGTTCAACTTTTTTTGTGCGGTCTTATTGGCATCTCTTTTAGTTATCAATATGTTGGTTTCCTTTGACAGGTATGGAGATCAAATTGTTGCCATCAAAGTTCTCAACTGTGGTAACACATCAGAAGAGAGAACTATGCTTGAGAGTCGTTTTATTAGGGAAGTAATGATGATGTCCAGAGTAAAGCATGAGAACCTTGTTAAGGTGAGATAGAGGAGTGAAATAGCTTCTTTTTTTCGGTGAACCATGCTCCTACGAGTTATTTTGTTGAAGTCAGCATTTGAACTTGGTGCTTAAATTTTATGTTTGTTAAATCACAATGTTGCATTAAAATGTGACATTTTTGACTGTATATGGTTTCAAGCTGCTTGTCAGAACACCCTCTCTGTTAATCACTGACTCTAAGCATAATAAAATGTTTTCCTTTGCAGTTTATCGGAGCATGTAAAGATCCTTTGATGGTGATAGTTACAGAACTTTTACCGGGAATGTCACTTCGAAAGTATTTATCCAGCGTGCGTCCAAAGCAGTTGGAAATGCATGTGGTGTTAAATTTTGCTCTTGACATTGCTCTGGCCATGGACTGTTTACATGCAAATGGGATTATACATAGAGATTTAAAACCTGGTATCTGATGGGGCACTAAGCTGTATAAGATTTTATTCATCTGTACTATTGTTATATCATGTAGTTTAGAACAATTTTATCTTTCAATTTAGATTCTAATTTTTTTATTAAATCAGGATTTGATATCAAGTGTTCCTTTTGATGGTTAGTTTGAAGGTGGTATTTTTATAACAAGTAGGTAAATGAATATCCCAGCATGTTGTGATTTTTTTTCCTTTTATTCCTGTTGTCTGGGTTGTTGTGTTACCATCCCCAGACGAAGAAAAAAAGAGAGAAAGAGGGAAATAAAGATAGATGAGTTTGAATCTGTGTTGAAACTTCTCTATGCTGTGCCAACTTTACATATTTATGTATTTCTTACTATAGGCAATTGATGCCTGATAAATTGATGTTTACATTACCAGACAGTAGAATGCGTGCCAATGTATCTCTTTTGTTTTGGAATCTCATGTAGTTTGATGTAAATTTTCTCTCTTAACTGAGAATATTTATGAAAATTTATGGTGCAGACAATTTGTTGCTTACTGCCAATCACAAGTCTGTGAAGCTTGCAGATTTTGGTCTTGCCAGAGAAGAAACTGTAACTGAGATGATGACTGCAGAAACTGGGACATATCGTTGGATGGCACCAGAGGTCTGTAATTTCTTTTTGATTTTATTTATCACCCATTATTGTTTTATCCCTCTGGAACTTGTATTAAACGTATTATATGAAATATTTGAGGGGAGTCCATTAAATTTTCGCCAGTGTTATATTGTTTTGCTGAATCTGTTTTGGTCCTCTATCGTATTTGCTAGTTTGAAACTAAAATATATTGCATTTTAATTACGTTGTATTTTTTTATCATCATAATTTAAATATTTTGAACTGTTTTTGTTTGATTGTTAATATCAGCGACTTAATTGAACTTTGCAGTTGTATAGTACCGTGACACTACGTCAAGGGGAGAAGAAGCACTACAATAACAAAGTTGATGTTTACAGTTTTGGCATTGTCCTTTGGGAATTACTGACAAATCGCATGCCATTTGAGGGAATGTCAAATTTGCAGGCTGCTTATGCTGCTGCTTTCAAGGTGCATAAATAATCTATTATCCGTGTTTGTATTACATAAATATTTTTGGAAAAAGAATCACATATGATCTCTGCTTACATTCTTCCAAGTTTGAGATTTCAAGCACGGTATTATAAAACAAAACAAACGGGAAACATGTATCTACTATCTAGTAGCCATGATGGAAAGAACTAAAGTAGCAGAACATAGTAAATTTATTTTCTAGAAAGCAGGAATTTGTCTTTCGAAATTTGAGATGCTCAGTGGAGTTGTAAGTCTCCGAATTCTATTCTGTAATTTGTTCATAGGTTGTTTCTTGATCACTAAGGCATTACAAAGTTTCTGCCATCAGATTTGGACATCTATTTCTCTAGTTGAATGGCTTCCATGATATTTTAAGTAATTTCAAATAGATGGCAACCTACAGCAGAATAGATGATCTTTCTCCAATGCTACCCCATCATGAAAATAATTCAACAATTGATTACGTTCATTCAACTGCTATTTTTACATGCATGGAACCATCACCTAACATTAAAAATGAGGGCAACTTAGGAAGTTTGTGATACAAATTTAGCAATCTGAGTTCTTTCCTGAAACCCAGAGTTGGACACATTTATTTTGAGACTGAGTATTGATTACCCCTAATATCTATTCTTGCTAAACAAATAACCATATTCTTGTTTATGCATACTTTCCGGTTAGTCATAGCCTGGCTCTAGACTTGTTTCGTACTCTGCTGATTCTTACTGCTAAGTTACTTATTTCCGGTTCCTGCTGAATCATTTCAAAGCTGTTACAATGGTGCAGATTAGTTTCAATAGAACAAGGCATTTATCTCCACCTGGTTTTGGAACATGGTTAATCCATTTTCCTATTATCACCAAGTGCATTGCAGGAGAATGTTTTGTCATACCGGTTAGGACCAAGTATAGATTATTCATGCCAGTTGCATGACCGTCTTTAAAAGTTCGAACGCATGAAATTAAGAGGAATTCAGGCGCTGTCAACTTCTTTTCTAGATATAACTCACTTGTCGATTATTTGTTCCTTGTGTCAAGGTTGTGAACTCTATGAAAGACCTTCATTATTAAGGAAGTTTGACTGATAGCATTTAAATCTAATTTTATTATAGATTTCTTGGAGTCCTTTTTTTGATACTGAAGCAGAGACTGAGAAAGACTGCTCTACGAAGATTACTTTCGATTGTCCATTATCTATCATTTTAGCATATTAGAAAAGCTTTAGTTTCTCTGTCTAGTTTTGGATCTTGTGATGACCAGGCTAGTGCTGGCATCTAAGGTGGATTTTTCTTTAGAAGCTTCAAATTTTTTGTCTGACGAGGCCACTAGTTTTACATAGCTAATGGTCATGAGAGAGGCAGCTTATTTAATTATGAGTCTTGTGTGTGTGTTAAAGTAGGATAAGTTAGCCAACCGATAATTTGTACTTGCCTACCAAGAATGAGGTGGTTAAATAGTATAAATCGGAAACCATGACTTGTTTTGAGTCTTCACAATTCAATTTTGTTATCTTCGTCCTTGCCATTATTTGTATATGGCTTGTTATTTATGTTATTATGTGGTTGGGTAAAATGTAATAATTATTATGTACTAAATTTGACTTTGTATGTTACAGCAAGAGCGGCCTAATCTTTCAGAAGACATCCCAACAGATCTAGCAATTATTATACAGTCATGCTGGGTTGAGGATCCTAATATGCGACCCAGCTTCAGTCAGATTGTTCGGATGCTCAATGAATTCCTTTCCACACTTCCTCCACAGTCTCCATCTTTACCCGATCATAACTTCTCTGAGGAAGGAATGACAAGCAATGGTTCTATCACTGAGTTTTCTGCTCGGGCAAGAGGGAAATTTGCTTTTCTTCGCCAGCTTTTTGCTGCAAAGAAGGCCAGGAACTCACAATAACAGGTAGTTTTAAGAAGTTTTTTGTTGTTGCCGACTTGAGGAAAAGGCACACGCTAGTTATATTTGTAAAGTTCCTTCCCTTTATTTCTTAGTAAGAAAGGATGAAAATTACTGAACGGATATAATGATTAGCTAGGAAACTTCAAAAGTATTTAGCAGAAAAAGCAGTTGACCACATATTATGACAATGATGCTCTGTGTTCCTTCTTGTGAGTTAATGCATATTCTGCTTTGGAATTTTTTTCAAATGCAGTTTAAGATTTTCTTTCTGTAAATATCTGGTGGATTCTGGAACTGTTAAATTAGCTCATCCTGTAAGCTTCTGCTAATAGTTGTTTAAAAGTTTAATGATCTACATTTCGACTATCAAACTTGTTGCTGCTAACGCTTGAATGTGGTGCTTTTGGATTAGAATGAGTAATTTTACTTTTGATTGTGCAACTCCAGTTATATCTACGGTTTTAAAACTATTTGAGGCTTACACCTCGAATCCCGTGAGGCTATCACAGAATGCCTCAGGCATGAACCTCAAGCTGACTAATGCGTTTGATCTTTTGCCTTGCATTTTTTAAACATTTCGTTATTGGTTTTAGCGTTTCGAGTTATTATTTGATAACTTAAAATTTTTTTTACGCATTCTTTTAATTTTTACCTACATGGAAAATGGTAAGAAGAATACATCATTACAATTGGAGGATGATGATAAAGAATGAAAAGAAACTCATGATGAGGATGTCCATTATATAAACAATTCCCTTAGAGATCATATTAGTAGTGATGATATGAGAAAATTTTGAGTAGTTATAATTTTGTTATATGATTACTAATTTGTGAACTTATTATTGTCTATTTTCTTGATCTATTTTGTTTGTTTGCAAGTTAGATTTTTTATTTTCTTAATTAGTTTTATCATGAATTCTTTGAAATGTTTCATGGTATTAATTATGAGCTTATTTTTGTATTTTTATATTCCTTTCAATTGTTTTATTGTTCTAGTCTACTCGCATGAATAAAATGCCTCAGTATTCGATTATGTCTCTTTAAATATCGGTTTTATATACCTAAAAATTGAAGAAAAAGAAGAGTTTCTTTGGACTTTCTATTAGCCTACTAGGAATTCCAATTCATTTAGAAGACACTATACAATAAAGGAAACTATTATAGGCAGAAATTGGTGGAGATTCGAACTTTGTAGGCAATTGATCGGAGCTCGTTGACAGATGATCGTGGAGCAAGTGTAAGTGTGTAACACACCAATGCATGTTTGGGGAAGAAGTTAAAATCTTGACTATCGTACCAAACATGTCCTAAACTACATAGAATTTTTCTCACACACCCTCCCACTCTTTGGATAAAACGATTACGTAAGAAACTCATCAGGCTGACAATGAATTCAACAGTATATTGTGCTTAATCTTGATTTGTATGCAGCATTCATTTTGGAGGCTTCTTTGTAAAGTGTGCTATTTTTCTGCTGCTATTTTCATTTTGCATACCGAGTAAGTTGTGTCATTGGAACTGTAAATGTGCAACGGTATTTTGCATAGTATTTACAAGTATTTCGGTATCTTTCTGAATGAAATTCTACTGTTTATACGGGTTCGATATTGCTTACATTGGAGGCTACGTTGAACTCTCTTGTATATCTATTTTTTTAAAATCTAGCATCTTTCACAAAGTGACATGCATAATACCAATGTTACAGTTGAAAGTCTGCAAAACAGTGTTAAAATTGTTGTCGCTAATCCTTTCTCTAGAGTTTAAATGAAAAAATGTCTTGATTTAGAATTTTGTGAAGACTCCTCTTTTCTTACTTAGCCCTTGTTTGGTTACGGTACTAATCAGATACCTAATAAAGCGTGAATTTGAATTCAAAAATGGTGGTTATATCGTCAACACAATTTTTTATTTGATACACCACATTTTAATTAAAGTTAAGCTCCTTAATCTTTGCTCATTATAGTAATTATGCACATAACTTTTTTTATCGAATTTTTATCTTCAATCTTTTATTAATTATTATGTCTAGTCATGATGATTTATATCAAATTTTTGATTTCATGTTTTGAAATGAGGGAATTTTTATTTATTTATTTATTAAAAATATGATGAAATATAAGTTATTTTATGTCATTTCAACGGACTTTTGAATATAAAACTGTTATTAAATACAAAATGTGTTAATTAATAGAAAGTTTGAGGATAAAAATGAAATAAAAATAGTTAGGGATATAAATGGTATAATGAATAAAGATTAAAAATGTTGTACAATTATAAAGGGTTCAAGAAATAACAATTGTGGCGTGAATATAATTACCCATTAAAAAATTATATCCAAAAGTGAGACATTTAAAGGCTCCTGATAGCACATCGTTCGCACTTCCTTCCTGGTGCAATGTGAATGCAAGTAAATTGATTTTCTGAAGGACAAAACGGTCTTTGGATACAACTAATGCACAATGAGATGGGAGGAAAGATGTGCACTTTTTTCGTAATTGCTTAAAGAGACCTCACTAATTAGTGTCAAAAAATCGATTTTCTTACAAAAAAAATAAAATAATAAGGATAGGACAAAGGCTTACAAAAACATCAAATACATTCTTATTACAAAAATAACTTGTAAAGTTAGCTCGACTACTAGTCAAAGTCTATTGAGTTAGCATCAAATTTTGGAGATCAAACTTTATCGAGGCAGCTTGACAAGGTCAAGTTTTGGGCCCATACAAATAACCCAGAGTAAAAGGATTAGGGTGAAAATTACACCATACAACAGGTATATAAAGATGACAATTCTTAAAATAGGATATTAAGTTTACTTTAGCATAAATCAGGTATTACTTAATCTTTCTATCTCACTTTCCAAGTCTTGCACCGTCGTCACAAGAGCTCCAACCAGCAAGGCCGCACACAACGACATTTTGATCATCGCTGTGAACCGCTTGAAGCACCGATCGAAGGCGGAAGAAATAGCAATACCGATCGTCAAAGCCTCCGCCACATTGCCCCAAGAGAGGTGATAAAAGCCGGTTATGTCGGAAAGGCTTGAAGTGCTGGTTGGGAGTGGTTTTTGTGATGGTTTGGTGGCGATTTGTGGTGGTTGTTTGGTTGTTAGCGACGATGGTGGTAGTGCGATAGTGGTGGTTGTGGTGAAATGTTGCTGATGGATTAATGTCCATGGGTGGTGATGGTTGCGGTGTGTAGGTCACAGTCGATTCAATTTTTGTGACCAAATTTCTTGAATATGTGACATATTAAAGTACATGGGTGCATGAGTCAAATGTCACATTTTTAAAAGATTTGATTACAAGTCATTGGATCAAGTCACAGATCCAAGAGATTTATTTACATACCATTGGATCAGGTCATGATCACATGTAATAGGGCACATGTCAAAGTAAATATGTCACAGATTCAAGATAATTCGTCACAAGCCCAAGATATTTGTTTACAGGTTATTGAATCAAGTCATATGTCACATATCACGGATTCAATGACCATAGACCATTAGTTCAGGTCACATGTCACATATCCAAGAGATTTGGTACATGCCATGATTTTTTCGACTTCAGTTATCTGAACTGGTCACAAATTCAAGTAACCAGATTTCGACGGGGTGAAAATTGAAGTTATTTAAGTCCTCTATAAATTACATAAGGAGCTATTTTTCAATTTTAAATTTTAAATTATACCCGTGGGGTCGTGAATGAAGAAGATGATCAGTCGCCGTAGAAGAAATCATCGACAGGGTGGATGTCAACGGGTGGGGTAGGGGCTGTTGTTTGGTGGGATGGTGTGGATTGATTTAATTAGATAATATTATAATTTAAAATTAAAGGGTATTTGATGGATATTATAGAGGAAATAATGTATTTTAAATAGTGATATGATGAGAAATATGTGGTTAAAAAGTAAGAAAATTATTGATATGATGAAAAATATGTGGTTGAAAATGAATTTTGAAAGAATGTGTGTTAAACAGATGCTAAAATAAAAAACTTGACTTTTAAATTTTTAAATAAAACCATGAAAGGTCAATGACCGACCCAAAAATAGGAGGCTGAGGTGTCCTAATTTGAAAAAAAAAGTGCCCCACATGAATTCAAATCAGGGAATTCAAATCAAGGGTTGAGATGATGGCATCTCAGCCCCTCATTTTTGGGTCGATCTCTACCCTGTTTGAACAGCTAATAGTACCATACATACAAGTGGCCCAGTGTGCAGTGTCTGTTCAAACCCTATATTCTAACGGCTACTACAGCTAGGTCACACGTGCCATTTCCATTTCAAAGAAGAATTCCTGACGATGCAAAGAGATGTGCATCAAACATGGACTCTCAGAATTCGATCCAAAGCCAACAACTTCCATTTCCATTTCAATCTGAATTCATCAAAAACCATTCGCAAGTATTTCAAGTTCTCAATCGAGCTTAAGCTCCGCCCATTTCTTTTCAAATTAAAATCCGAACCCGGAACATCATTTTCCTTGAAAAGAAAATCTTTCAAGAAATCCCTTCAGATTTTTCAGAATCTTCGCATTCGACTTGCAAAAAACAAAGCCATTGTAGCTAGAAGAAGATCCCATAAATGGTGTGCTCATAAGGTATGTCCTCGTCTGATTTCAAATACTCGCGTTGAAGAAATGGATGTATTTTCGTATTAACGTGGGATTACAACTGTAGGGATCAGTTTGTGTGAGTTCAATTCTGCTTGGAAGCCTTGCTCATTTGTGTCTATCAATATCCAAGAATGGTGAAAATCCAATATTCATACTTTGTTCATTTATCTGTTTATACTTTGCTTTCTTGCTGAAGAATTATTGGAGAAGGAAAAAACGAAGTAATTCATTGGGAGTTGTAGTTTTTGCAATATTGGGTTGTTGGGCAATTTCGCTTCTGAGTAACCATTTCTATATTTGGAGATATATATGGAGGGCTTGGAATTATGCTGCCTCTCTTTGTTTCTGTGATNTTTTTTTTTTTTTTTGGGTTTTGTTTTCAATTGGAAATTATGAGCCTGAGAATTTTCCAACTTTTTCAGGTAATTTTCCCTGCAGTTTCTGGATACATTGCGGTCGAGAACGAGGTGATCTTGGACAATAAAAATTGGAAAATGTTGATTTGTAAGATTCGCTGATGACTTGATTTATTTATTCAAAATTTTCAAATCATTCAAATTAATCATCCAAATTTCTAACTACTCAACACACGGCCCTCGACATTTTCATTCTCAAAAATATTATTGATTCGAGTTTAGAACGTTAAATTGAACAAAACGTGAAAATGTGGAAAGAAAATGAATTCAGATAATCTTATCTGATGTTGTAATATTATTATCTATCCAAGTGCTTCCAGCTGTTTGTATGTATATAAATTGCAAGAGATAAATATATATAAAAATTTATTATTTACCATTTCAAAATTCAAACCCTCAAAGATCTGCTGAACGTTTTCCAAATCTTGGGGTCCTTAAAATCTGGCCTATCATCATTTTTGGCACTCTTTTTCCCACGGATTGGTTTCAGCAACTTCTTTAGGACCTTTTGAAAACCACGCCGCCACTGTCGCATTGGCTTCGCCACCACCTGTTGAGCCGCTTGCTGCCGCGAAACACTCGGCTCCGACATACTCCGCCCCAGAATGGCCTGGTTCAATTTCACCTCAAATGAGAGCCTCTCGTACCGGTCCAATAACGTGCTCTGTTCATCCCCAAACCTTTTCAAGATCACTGCCATATCTTCCATTGTTCCCATTTCTGCAACCAAATTCTTCATCACTAACTGCATCTATATATATGTGTGTGTGTGTGAAATCAGTAGAAAAAAAGGTAACTGAGAATATATAAAGGTTTTGAAAGCTAAGCCGAGTGATACAAGCAACTGAGAATATATAAAGGCTGCAAATAATTAAAATGCAATAAATTTATAACATAGAAAAGATATTTCTTGAATTGGTTGTTGAATCATTAATTTCATTCCAAAATTGATTTGAAAATTGGATTCTTTGGTATAAATTATTTTCGAACAGTATGTAATTAATGCACTCGGCAAAGCAATTATCATTCAAATAATCTGATACTTACACCCAGTTTGATCCACGTTCTTAAAAAAATACATTTTTTTAATATTCATTTTCAACCACACAATCTTCAATAAAATAATATTACACGTAAATTCAAAATTTTTCCATCTTTTTTAATCACGTATTTTCCACCATATCACTATTAAAATGCATTTTTTTCTTAAGAATTTGCATCAAATGGGGCTTATTACCCAAATATTATGTCCTTATACTTTCTAGTTTATATCCATTATTCTCATGGTCTCCATAAAATAATATTTAGAAAATGTTCGTTCGATTTAAGATAATTTAAATACTTTCCATGGAAGCCAAGGCCATGAAGAAGAAGCCGGATTGCGCAGCCGAATAATTTTCTATGGCTTTATGCTTCCTTGTTCGAGTAAAACTATGTTTTGTTCTTTCAATCAGAGTCTCTCTCTCTAGAGAGGTTTGTTGAACACAAAAGTTCACAACTTTAATTCCCTATGCGGCCTTAATTTCTGCAATTAAGAAATTTGCATTCCAATTCGAAAGCTCTAAAGGCAGACATGTTCACATGGAAGAGTATCTATCCTATGCGCGATTTTATTTTATTTCTTCTTATTCAACAATACTAGGTAATGAATTGTCTACTTTATCAAATAAGTCGTAACAACACGTGAGATCTTTTTACGAGGATTTCAAGGCGAGAAAATCAAAGAAATTGGAAATCATAGTAAATATATCCATGAATTGTTTACAATTATCGCTGCAACTCCATTTTAACATTACAATGATGTATTAACCCGGACGCAAAAAAGGACGAGAAAGCACTTAAACGAAGAAGCTCGAATAGTAGCGTAATACTTGTATTGGAAGCATCAGTTAAATCGGTTAGTTAATTGTCCAAGTTGATATTTTAGTTTGTTAGTTGGTTGTCTGGCTGGTTAGAGTTGTTATCTTTTGGCGCCAACTTTGTGTAGTATTTATACAACTTTGTACATTCATTTTGTATGATTTCGACCAATAATGAAATATATTTCTTCATCTCAATTCTGAATCTAATATGGTATCAGAGCTTTGCTCTTCTTTGCACACTTCTTTTTCATTTTTTCAAGTATTTTGATATGTAATTCTGGTCTCAAATGGATTTGTCCGCAAGAAATTCTGTCATTGATGAACCTTCAAGCCCCTATTTTCTTCACCATTTCGACAGTCCAGGATTAGTACTAGTGTTACAGCTGCTTACAGGAGAAAAACTACGCATCTTGGAGCCAAACAATGACAATTGCATTGTCCGTGAAAAATAAACTCGGATTCATCGATGGAACTATAACAAAACCGGAAGGTTCAAACATTGATTTGATCAATTCATGGATCATGAACAATAATATGGTGATTTCTTGGATCCCTAACTCATTTCAAAGGAGATTTCTGCGAGTGTGATCTATGCAACTTCAGCTTGTGAAATTTGGAATAATCTCAAGGATGGGTTTCAACAAAAGAACGGACTACTTATCTTTCAACTAAGAAGAGATCTAATGAATTTAGTCCAGGATCAAAGCAGTGTCAACATATACTTCACTAAGCTTAAAACTATACGGGAGGAGCTAAGAAATTATCGTCGTACATGTAGTTGTGATAAGTGCACTTGATATGGAGTAAAAGAATTGAACAATCACTATCAAATAGAATAGATAATGTCGTTTCTCATAGGGCTGCATGACTCCTCACAAATCAGAGGACAATTGCTACTCATGGATCCTCTACCTCCAATTAATAAGGTGTTTTCTTTGATCTCTCAAGAAGAAAACCAAAGAAGGATAAGTACATAGATGAATAATGGAAATGACCTTATTGGAGCGGCTGCATTTGCGTTTAAATCTGATAATATCAAAGCCACGTCTGGATCTGGAAGTTACAGTAATAATTTGAGATTTGGAAGCACTAGGAATATTAAGAAGAAAGATAGACCTTATGGTACACACTGTATTATTCATGGACATTCTATTGACAAATGCTACAAAATTCATAGATATTCTCCGGGGATATAAACTAAGGTCGAGAGAGAATTTTCAAAACTCCCGTGGCCATAATTCTATCAACGAAGTATCTGCTTCTTTCATCACACAAAATGAAGACCAAATACATGGAATTGGGAACTTTGTTAAGAACTTGAACTCGACTCAATATCAACAGTTGATGTCAATGTTATCTACTCATCTGGCATCAAATTCAAACACAACAACCACTGATCATCGGGGCAATAACATTGTATCTCATGATGCTGGTATATGTTCTTCTATATCTGTTAATCCGATATCCTCTTCCAAAGATATTTGGATAGTGGACTCAGGTGCCACCAAGCATGTGTGCTCTATTGCTGCTACATTTATGAATATGAAAATTATAGATGATTCTAATGTTATATTGCCTAATCATACACAAATTCCGGTTAGACTATGTGGGGATGTCAAATTGAGCTCAAAATTGGTACTGCGTGATGTATTGTTTGTGCTACAATTTAAGTTCAATCTATTGTCAATTAGTGCCTTGACTCTTGGATTACAACTCACATTAACTTTCTTTCATGATTCCTTCATCATTCAGGATGCCAAAACCAGGAAGATGACTGGCAGGGGTGATCGAATACAGGACGTATATGTCCTTGATGTCAAAGTTCTGAATTCACTTTCTAATGCTTTTTTTAACAATGTTTCTGTACTTATGTGGCACAACAAACTTGGCCATCTTTCCTTTAAGAGACTAGATTGCTTGAAATATCAATTGATGTGTGATGTTTCCAAATTCAATAAACACATGCCTTATTATATTTGCTTTCTTGTAAAACAAAGAAGGCTGTCATTTGATTCAAATAACAATCGTTCAAATAGTCCATTTGACATCATATATTGCGACATTTGGGGAGCCATATCAAGTTACTTCACACTCAGTGCACAAATATTTTTTTAACTTTGGTGGATGATTATTCAAGATTCACATGGTTATATCTATTGAAACTGAAATCTGATGTTGCAACTGTAATTGAAATTTGTGATTTGTAACCCAGGAATAATACGTGACATATTAATTTGATAAATAATACGTGATCAATTAATTTGATAGTTTGTGATAAAAAAATAAATTGTGACATATTAAATTTGTGATTTGTGACTGTGATTGTGACTGTGACGTATATAATTGTGACTAGTACATAACTGTGATAATAAATTGTACAATATTATGACGTTAATATATTTAATTAATAAAATATTTTCAAATTAATTAAGACTTGATTTTCGAAATGATAAAACTAATTTCTTAATTTTGAAATTGTATTTTATAATTACCTTATATATGTAATGTTCCCTTTTAAAGTCAACCAAATCATGTGCGATCTCATAAATTATTAGATTTGCATAACATAAATAAAGTAAGCGAACGTTTGTAATGTGAACGTAAGAAATAAAGTACTAAACCTAGCATAAATTATTAGATTTGCATACAGCGTAAGAGAATGTTTGTAACGTGAGTCCTTTTAATCAACCTAGATAATAGGCAGTTAACAAATATAATTTTACAGATTTGACCTGCTATTACACATCAGCAGAAACCATTATCAAAGTATACATGAGTAAGAATGTAAAACATGACTTCATAATCAATTAATAAGAAACACATGAACTAGCAAATATGTTAGAATTGGATTGTGATCTGAATTCTTATTGGGTATTTGATTAGAAATACCGTTGGAGAAGTATTGAGATTTAGTAGTAGACTTGAAGACGTCTTGAAGGAGTCAAAGGTGAATTGACTCATATTTCATTCTAAATTCTTCATTATTAGTTTTACTCATTGTATTGGAATTTCACCTTATATTAAACTCTTTATGTCTTAATTATTCTAGTATGTTAAGGATTATTTGGTTATAAATATGTAGTGAACAATACATATTGAAATTGACTAATTATCCAATTAGTTATTGGTCTAAAGAGATCATTTGCAACTCTTTACTATTGATTATAGTGAATACTTTGCATCTGCCCGTGGTTTTCCCAGATTTGGATTTTCACATAAATCTTATTTTCTCTGTGATACATTGTTTTTCATATTGATCATATTATTTCCGTCTTAATTATTTGGGTCGAGTTCTCAACAAGTGGTATCTGATATTTTGATTGGTTCACAATAGAATAAGACGTGAAAAACTAACAGATTCAATTAGATGATCACCAATCAACAACTGTTATGTGTAATTAACATAAATGACTTAATTACCCTATGGCATCATCAGAAATCTATAAATATGCATAGTTGGGAACAAAGAAATTAAGGCATGCAAATTTGAATATCCTCACTTTAAAAAAGTTATTTATCTTCTTGCTCGTGCTTGAGCATAAAATTAATGGGTTTAGGAGCAAAAAATCATAATTAGGTGGGATGAATTTATCAATGGTAATTTTGAAATCAACAATCTCATCCAGCTATGTGGTGGAATTGTAGTGGACAATGGTTATTGGTAACGTCTAGACGGTTGTGGTTTGTTGAAGTCAGGATGGTCTCACCACTATCACCATAACATCTTACGGTGCCCCACTCACAGCGTCGGGGTTTGCTTGCTTGTGTTATTGCGTGTTTTAGTGGGTGTTTTTTATTTTAAAGAAACGATCAATA